GATTTAAAACACTTTTCAAGTGACTCGACGTTGAAATTTTACAATATAAGCATGTGCTAGTTAAATACTATGAAGTTTAAGCAGCGCTTCTTTGCGCCCTCGGTTTGGAGTTGGGTCGAAGGGGGGTGGGACGACAGTCTCTGTTCCTATATCCCCTTCCCCTCGCGCTCGACCAGGGAGAGGCGGGGGCGGAGCAGGGGACGTCCACCGGCGTCAGGGGATTGGAAGATAAGGGAAGTTTAGGTCGTTAAAAGCAAGAGTTGCGGGCGGCAGACGCCACCCCCACAGCGCTACTCCGCCGCCCCTGTGCCCCTTCCCTGCCCCCACAACCACCCCATCACGGCCGCCACCTCCGAGATAGGCCCTGGGGGCGGCTTCGGGGGCGGCGGCACCGACCGCTCTCCTCGAAAGCGAACATTCCCAGAGGGCGGTATCGAACGCCCGCCGCCCGCCACGTTCCTGCACGCCTGGAGTACGGCAAACTGCCGGCGATCAGACTTGCGTGTCAGCAATACGCGCCTGTCAACTTTTTCTCTCATTGCCCTTTATTTCTGCGTGTTGAAGAAAAGTTCCGTGGATACGACGCCGCTTTTGCAGTCGTCAGCGCACTTGCAGGCCACACTACAAACTACCTACAGCCCGCCAGCTCGCCGAGGCTATACAGGGCACTCTTTCGCACCTGGCCGTCTTTGACGGCGTCCTGCCCGTTAGAGCCAAGGTCACTCGGTCCGGCTGCCGGTCCTGGGGCCAGGGGCCACCCGCCCGATCGCCCGCGGTCCTCTTTTGCGCAACGGGGTGGGCCAACCCCATTGTCCGCGCGGTGATCTGCTTACCAAGGTCAGCCTCAATAAAACCCTTCTGCTGACGCATTGTCGGCCGTTTCGCACTTTTGCGGAACCCCCCGTGCCATCTCTCGCACACTCGTCCTTTTTTCGCCTCACAGAGAGGAACTCCGCAAACGAAGGTGTTTTCTTGCCAGGAATCGGGGTCCTTGGCCGTCGTCTCGAGGTCTGTAGTGTGAGGGTTGTGTGAGACAATCAGTTGACGCGAGGTGATGGTGCTCGCTCTCGCACAGGTTCATTGCTCTCCTTCTCTTTCTCTCTGTCCCCCTCTCACCCTCACCACGACAAGCCGGGTTGTCGTACAACCCTATCTCCTAGGTATCTCACCTTCCCAGAGCCATTTTGATAAAGAACAGACTGGCAATTCCCCACGTCAGCATGTCATTGTCATAGCCGAAATAAAATACGGAAAAAACCGAGCTTGACACTTTGTTACGGGCCGTAGCCGGCGCGGTGTGACGGCGTCGAAAAGAGTGACGGGGTTCAGACTGTCAACAGAAAAAGGCTGGAGCTGCGTGCGCGAGATGCGCGGCAGAAGTGCGTTATCCGGACGCGTCCCGAGGCCACCGGAGCATATCATGCGCGCTTATCCGGAAGGGTGGGTCCGTGCGGCACTCACGTACACCGTTATTCTGCTAAAACAATGTAAGGCGAATCACCTGGAACGATACAAAGAGTGCCTTTGGGATTCAAACAAACACGTTTAACGTAAGTATATCTTCAAAGTTGCTTTTATGATGTGTGCGTTCAAGGCAAACCAAGACATATTCAATGTAGCTCAAATTTTAGATATATGCTATAACATAAAGTTTACGTGTGATTTTACACAGTTGCACTTAATTGCATTTGCTGGAAATGTTAAAACTTGGTTGGCGCTCGCAAAAGTACTTGAAATTAAATGATGTCAACCCTCAGCTGGTACTGCTTACAGATACTGTAGAACAAAAATGGGCAAATATCTCTTCCTGTCTCACAAACACACACCGATACACACACACACAAACGCATATGTGTGTGAAAATTAGACATGGATCACGGATCGTACTTCACCTCACAGCCGAGTTGTTCTTTTTTCAGAATTCCGCCTGACATTTCTAATCGGACCAACCCTGACCAAGCATTTTCCGACCGTTGGGAAATAATGTAAAATGACAAAAGCCTCGAGTGGGCTTGACGGACGCACACAGCACGTGTCTAATCGCAGATCTGTATGGGCAATTTCGTAAGTTCCAAATGTTGTAAAATAAAATGCTAATCAACTTTCTTTGCTTCTGCATAATGTTTCAAATCAGAAAAATCCTTCTTTTACGGAATCTATTTTATTTGGGAAGCGGTTATCGACCTAAGTGGAGGGGGCAGGAGAAGGGATGCGGTGGGAGGAAAAGGCGTAGGGAAAAGAGAGGGGGGGGGGGATAAATTGGCAGGTACTCAACCCCCCAGCTCGCGCGCGACTCGCACAACATTTCCTGCGCCGCTCTCGCCCATTTTTATTTTGCACTTCGGAGCAATTCGCAGGCGGCACGGCGGGGTCATCTGCTGCCGCCCGCCAGCCGCCCTCCTTCATCTTCTTTAGCAACACGGCGTGCCGGGCCGGGCCGTTCCCTCCGCTCTCCACGCTCCACATAAGGGTAACTTCAACAATTTGCCACACTGTATAATTCAGGCGTAGAGGCTCCACACCGCCCGTTTGCGTGGTGCGTTCTGCTGCGCCCTGTCCCGCCCCGCCTGCCTCTCCATTGGCTGCAACAATGTGCGCCATTCACGCGCCGGACGCGGGCTCCGGCGTCAAGAGAAGGGGCGGCCCAAAAGAAAGGAAAACCCACCCCTAAACACCGAGTCGAAACTGAACCAGTTTTCGAGCAGGCCTGAGCTGCTGCTTACTGTATGCCAAGTCACGGTGGACTATTCGTCTTCTCATTGCAGAGACTTCTGACTTTCGACACGTCCGACGTGCGTTGCGTACTCCAGCCGGACTCAGACGGCATTGTAGTTTATATGAATAATCGGTACGCAATAGCGACGAAAACCGGCCGGACACTAGTCCAGTACTTGGCCCGCCTCTCCGACGCCATTTCCTTTTTTCGCAACTGGTTTGGAGCCCTTCCTCTCACTCACCGTGGCCGGTTATCCGCTGCGCGTCGGCGACATTCTTCGCTCTTGAAGCTATAAGTTATCCAAAGCGGGTCGGGTGTCATCCTGCAACAAATGATTAAAACTGTCATTTCATCGCAACCAAAAAAAAGCTGGGATAAGAGAAGGATCAGTCTGGACAGAGTTTTGTTGTCATCGCCTTTTCCACAGCCGCAAAATTTATATTTTTTCATTGCACACAGTAGTAGGTCCGTAACCGGGACATTGTTGCAAAGCTCTCTGTGATGACCACACTACTTTGGCAGATTGTGGGAAAATACTGACATCATGGGGACACACACAACCCCAAAGGATAAGAGGAAGGGGAGGGAGAAAGGGGGAGAGAGAGAGAGAGAGAGAGAGAGAGAGAGAGAGAGAGGCAGACATAAAGAGAGACAGACAGACACAGAGAGAGACAGAGAGAGACGTCAGAGAATGGGAGAACAAATTGCCTCTTGTGCGCTGGCGAATGTCAAAACTTTTCATCAGATTGGTGACAACCGTGGCGATCTACCGGCCTGCCTTCCCATTCTGCATGGGTCTTTCATCCCCTCTCCCCTCCCCCCTCGAAGTCATGCCCGAAAAGCGTCTTGGGATCCTCGTCCGGGCCACATTTCCGGGCAACCGTCCCACAAGTGTGGTCCTTTCCTTTGCATGTGCGTGAGCGCGGGCGCGCTTGTGTGCTGTGCACGTGTTGTGTAAGTCTCAAACCCGGACAGAGTCTGAAAATTGTGCGATGGGACACTCTTGAGCTGCAATACACGTAACGTTCAATATTGAAGCAGTAGAGCACTAGGATTATGCCCATTCAGGTGCAAGAAATAGGTTGTACCCGTACTTGACACGCCAAACCAAAACACCTAAAAATCGCAAAAGGTTTGCAAGAGTTACCAGACTAACCAATAGTGTACCACGTGTTGTGCAGTTAGAGTTATTTGTGAACGGAAAGCCCTTATAACTAATGTCACGGTGTTTAGTACAATGGCAAAAGCTTTAGTTCAGGCAGCACCACCCAAGTCTGCCTTTGGCGGTGGCAGCGCGAGGCTCTCCTCCTCTTCTCTCCCTTCGTCTCTCTCTCTCTCTCTCTCTCTGATGTGCTCTCTTACTCGCTCTCATGTTTCTTTTGGTTCCCCGGACGCAGCCAAACTGAATCTCATTTCCATAATTCGAGCGGCGGGGCGGAGCAGCCGCTGTGGGGATATTGAGAGAGAGACAGTCAGAGAGAGAGAGAGAGAGACAGAGACAGAGATTGGGGGGGGGGGGGTAGGCGAGAGGTAGTGGAAGCGAGGGAGAGAGCGGGATGGGAGGATGCTCCGCCCTACGACGTGTCGGGTCGAGAAGTCACAGCCTCACGATGCTCGACTCTGGGTGGTGAATGCGAACGCTGACCCTTTCAAATCGGCAAGGTGAAACGTAAAGTTAGCATGTACAATGAATTTGCGATTTCATCTCACTGACATACATTTAAATATGGTGACTAGCACTATCATCACAGAATATGAGAAAACAAAATTGAAAGTTTTCCAAATTTACCGAGGTTTAAACAACCGTGACCAGTTAGTGAAGTGTTATTCGTGCTAAAATTTAAATCAATGTAACGTCCTTTGCCAGTCAACAGAGTCTAACTTTTGATCCTGCCTGCTGCTGGACCCCGCCCGCCGACGCACTATAGCTCTCTCACACTCTCTTCACCCCCCCCTCCCGCCATAAAGAGACTGCGGTGCCGTTACGCCCAGTAATGCCCACATACACCGAGGGGATCAATGGTCAATATGGCTGCTGCTGCCGTGGCTGGACGACGACGACGACGGTGATCATGATGACGATGATGCATTTCGACGCCGTCGCCATCACGCGAGAGTGACTCAGATCCGATGACTGCACCCTCCCCCAATGCCCCCCTCTGATTGCCGACAGCTCATTCGGACCGCTGTTTCCGGCACGTCCTCTCTCCGCTTCCGCCTCGCCGTCATGGACGCCGTCCTCGCCCACCCAGGGGGACCACAAACAAGACGAATAGGCTTATCTCATTTACTTCGATCCCCTCACCCCTCTCCGCTCCACGCGAGGAGGCCCAAGCAGCGGCAGATACCCAAGCGCGACAAACGAGCTTCTGTAGGACATACCCACCCGCGACATTCTGCGATTTTTCCGAAAGTTTGTAAGTATGAGACGCTATTAGCAAGTACCTCATCCCGCGAGGGGCTTATCTATCCCTCTCTCCCTCCTCCACTGTTCCTCCACCGTCGTCGGCAGACTGGACGTGATCGCAATGGCAAGCCCAAGCGGGGAGGCGGTGGGTTCATACTAAATTCCTTTCCACGCAGGTTAAGCCCCCACCCCCCTTCCTCCTTTCTTCCCGCTACTCAAAACAAAACTTCTTTGAGAATTCGGAAATTTCACTTCGATGTTTAATTTGAAATAATATAGCTACAAGAACGCGCAAAATTGCAAAAACGGATCGAGTAAAATTTTTCATGAAGAAATATTAAAAGCATTATTTGCAGTTTCAAAATTGCTTCAAACACTTTTGAAAATTAAAATGATGTATCCTCAACTTCTCCAGTATTTAGTATAATATGGTTCCAATTCTTAACATTCAAATGAATTGTGAATTATTGCCAGGTCAATAAACATATACGTTCTGAGGTTTAGCTGTGTACGTAACGATCTTCATTAATGGACAGCGGAAAAGGTCTGATTGGGCAGCAATGGGGGAGAAGAGAGGGTCAGAGTGGGAGGATGTGTGCAAAAGAGGGTAGACGTGTGTGGGTGATACAGTGTGTGTCAAAAGTATAAAGCAACAACAAACGGTGCATTCTAAAATGATAAAACAAGGGTCATCTTCGAAGAATGTTAAGGACGCAATCTACAAAATATTGGTACGCGACAGGGTTTATTGACAACCCCCCTTTTTTCCTCCTTCTTGTCTCAAGTGTCCCGCCATGCGTTCCACAAAATTACAGCTACTTGTCTAATTCGGCCCCCTCCTCCTCACCTCGCCGATGTTTACGACTTCCAGAGCTGCGGGCGCGCGCGCTCTCGCGGCGTGTCGCGCAAGCAAGCACACGGTCGTAAAACCGACGTGGAATTCATAACTTTTTTTTGGCAGCTCCAACGATATTAATTTTTAATTCGTAATCAAATACAGAATTTTGCATGTGTTTGTCTGATCCTGTCAGATTGAGTTATTCTATGCTAGTTTCGCCTTTCTTACTTTCAAGCGTCTTATCTTAGTATTTA